ACGGATTAGGGTTCCTGTCCTTGAGCTGGCCAACCATGCATGCATCTGTGCATTGGGTTGTGTTCCATTCACCAGCAGGGGAAGGGATGGCTGAGGAACTCTGAATGCATGCTGGGGACATGGCCTTCTTTTACCTGTCTCCTGAAGCCTACAAGTTACTTGGCTTTCTCTGATACAAACCAAGCAGCTTCCTCCTGCAATTGCTTCTGCAAGAAGAGACAGATAGGTAGAGAGATTCATATAGCTTGCCCAGTAAATTCCAGACTTGGTGTTGTGATGCTCAGGTATGATTCCTTGTCAACAACAACAAAAGAATTGCTCCAAATATCTTTTGCAGATCAGGATGATTCTTATCAGTCATGGAGAAATGATTCCTAACATGTCTAATGTGGCATTAAATCAATTTGTCAAACATCCATTAAGTTCATCAGGATCAGAAGATCAACAGTCAAATAAAAATTTAGAAAAAAAAATCACCAGAAAAATATATCCTGACTACATAAGAATAAACAATAAATTTCCCCTTTTCTTGAGTTAATTCAAACTCACAATCTTTCTTTCAATATCCTTAGATTTTGTTTTAAAAAAAATTGGAACCACAATATTCTTTGCTAATGCTTCATTTTTCACTAAGACCTTAAAATATATATAATATTTATAGAACATCAACTCTTTATATTTTTTTTTCCCATACCTAAATTTCTTATGAATCATGTTCTCTAAGTAACTTCAATTCTATTATAATTCTAAAAATAATTGACAATCCCTAACGAAGAGTCGAATCCATAATTCTATTATATTATTTTAGATTGCTCGGAGACTACGTCTCACATAATTCTTTTTCGAGTCGATCTTTCATAAATTCGCTGCATTAGTCTTTGGATTCCTGCAAAGCATATTAAGCTTTTCAAAATGATTAACAACATATCTTGTATTAGGCTTTAAAAAAAAAAACTTGTGCTTAAGCATTAAGCATTATAATAAGTAATTCAACTTCAATAATCCTAACAATTCAATTCTTATTGAGTTGAATCATGATTATTGGTATATGACCAAACATGGAGACATGATAAAAAATAAGAGATTTCATTATCAGTAGTGCGACATGAATACTCTCTTTTTTAAATAAAAGTATATATATATATATATATATTAATTTAAATTTTAAAAAAATACAATTATATATATATATATTCATTATTTTATAAAAAAAGAAAAATAGAATAAAAAGGTTAACACGTGCAAGGCCAGCCCACATTAGATGCCCAAATAGTACAGGCCCGGCCCAACTAATGACAAGGGCTGGGCTTTAATCCCTTACGTATAAGTGGATGCTTCTCTCCGGAGTGGTAATTATTGATCGTTAAAGGGAGGTGCCAAGAAAACGGGTGAATGCAGGAATGCTTCGCTGCATTAGGGCGAGAGGAGTACACGAGCGAGAGCGCGATAGGCAAAGTAGATGTGTCGATTCTTCCTCTCTCCGTCGTATTGAGCTGCCGATGCCGCGGGAGTAGGGGCCGCCCTATCGAGTCGGAATTCTGGTTGGACAATGAAGGCGAGCGGCGCCGAGGACGGCGGAAGGCCGGCGGGCTCGCCGGCCCCACCGCCTCCATCTCTCGAGTGGAAATTCTCGCAGGTGTTCGGGGAGCGGATGGCGGGGGAAGAGGTCCACGAAGGTACGATCTTTATCTTCCCCCTTTGCTTGATCGGTTCTTGGTGGTGCCGGGACAGTTTAGGGTTTCGACTGGATGTTATGTTCCTTCTTTTGTCTTGGTTGCCGATGGATTTGCTTTTGGAACATCGCAAGTGCCTCGTCTGTGGAATTACTGGAAGGAATGTGACCTAATTGAGGTTTACTCATATTCTCAAGGAAAAGATCGGGACTTGTTAATTTTTCTGGAGCGTAAAGATATTATTCTTCTTTTGGGTTGATTATTTTACCACTTTAGTTCTTGTTTATGAACTTTTAAGAGTCTTGGTAATTGTTCGACAGAGGAAGATGAACTTCTTGATTGTCACTGTGTTTTTTTATTGGAGACTTGTGTTGCAACTTCTGTGGCTTCATTCACGGATAAGTCATTCCGTGTACACTCTTTGGGCGAGTTTTAGGTATTAGCTGATCTATGTTAACTTGCCACTAGTTCTTTTTGGATTGCTACTGTTGCTATGTTTCCAGAAAAGCAACCTGATCTGTCTCACTTGGAACTCAAGCATAATTAAACAGTGGATATTGTACTGAAGAAAACTTTTGCCCACCAGTGAAAGTAAAAGTTTCTCAGTTGCAATTTCATGTTAAGCATGATATATTACACAACCTTTTGCCCACACAGTGGATATATCTATGTCCTTTTATCACTTCTTCGAGTTTAACATCAGTGATTGGACAAGACAAGAAATTATGTTTTTCAGCTCTTCTCGGCCGCTGGACATTGCTTAAGTATTAGCATTGATTTCGTATGCCTTCTCCAAGTGAAATGACTTAGTTCCTTACCATATAGAAAGTTGGTACCTGGCTGCTTACTCCTAATTTGGAACTTATATCTTTGACCGTACTCTAGGACATGTGTCGCAGCTTAATTCACAGGTAATATACAATCTTATTTGAGTCATCATTTTTATGAACATAATAAACGGACAATCTGCATGAATTTCTTGTGAACTGCTTATTTGAGATAGTGTTGACTGAACCAAAATTTCAAGAACTCATTGTTGTGTTGCTATTTTATATCATAGTTAACTGCTCGATCTTTGTTTACAAGTTGATAGACTGCAAGGGCTTGACATGTCTTGTGGAAGGTTAGAATAACCTATTTTTCCATGTCGAGATTATTAACTTGGACCGTGGTGTGAAGCTTATTGTAAAATGGAGCTTATTTCTAAAAATATGAGTGTATCTTCTTCTTGTTAATATTTGTATAATAGGTCACTAGTAAGCTTTTGTTAATGATATTGTTGTTTACATAGTATTATTTAATGACCAGCTGATCCAGCAATGTCACTCATGAGCTGGAGCCATACTTTTGCAGGGAGGGTTTGGTACATGGTGTTATATTTTAAATACTATTAACAAAATGAATTAACTTAATATTTCAATTGCCTTCTCGTGGCTATCTGAAAGCTGGTATCTGTCACTGGCACATGCCAGTGATAAGAGCATTCCCATAGTTAAAAGGAAGCAATAATAATAATGAGTAAAGAAAAGAAGGAAGCGGAAAGAAAAAAGTTTGTAAACATCTTATGTGTTCCATCGAAAATACATATAAATATCTAATCATATATGTAAAGCTGCTCAACCTTAAAAATCCATATCTCTTGGGAGATGTGAACTGGTCCTGGTCTTTGAAATGATTTACTTAACCAATTAATTAATAAATTAAAATCCCTAATGAAAAGATTTTCATGATCAGCACAATGTGGAGTTTCTCTGTTATTTGCTCTTTGACCTGGTCACAATGGCCATATTTGATTAAGGCCTTACAAAACTTTCTTTTTTCAAAGAATCCTACAACAGTCCTGTTGTAAAACTTTGATTTTGATAATTTTTTGTTATAAATAAATATTTATAATGATTAAAATTTAGTGGGTATACCAAGTTAATTCTGTTCATCCTCCAACAAAGTTATGAAGTGTTTCTTGGTTTTCTTGTTTTCTTACAGTTTTTTTGGTAAAAGATAATATTTAAATTTTCAAAATGTGTACAAAATGCTCTGGATATATCAGCGCTCAAAAGCATACCCAGGAACCGGAAGGTTGAACCAAGGTATAATCATACCCCTAGGCCCATGTGCGAATTGTTGGCAAATTAGCAATACTAAGAATATGAAACAATTTGAGGTTCTTGACTTTACATCACAATTACATAATACCATGTATCACACATGTAATGCTATGATTGATTTATATCCGTTCCTTTTTTAGAGTTTCATTTATCTGTCCTTTTGTCCTTTTACTTGATGTTTATGCTTGTACAGCCAAAACTCTCTCCTTGTGAGTGGTTCGATTGTAACATCTTTGTTGGAATCACGTTCATTAGATTGGCGTTGTAACTGTTGTAAGTTGTGCTCTAAATAAGCTTTACTCTAATGCGTTAAAGCAATGTAATGATCTCAATTAATTTATTTTCTGCTGGTTGTAAGAATAGATATTTATTTTGTATACCACTTAATTTCAAACTAAATTGCTGCTAAGAGTCGTTTTATCTTTGTAATTAGTTTGTATCCTTTGCTCTTAATGCGTGACAATGAGCCTTGGCACCTAGGTAATTTTGCTTCTTTACAACTAGGGTGTCATGGAAACGTCCCATTTGATTGCAGCATAAGACTTCAATTTTGACCCTCCACAGTCTCTATGTTGGCGGGAGTATGCCCTGTGAGTTTTGTGTTAATCTGTAGATTATGCAACTTTAAATGTTACTTGTTTTGCTATTACCTACTGTTTATATAATTGGATCTTTCAAGCTTTTTTGATAGGTTGTAAATTAACATGCAAGTGAATTAGTATTAATCAAAGAATTAATCAGAAATTTACTATTATTGGCTTTCTCTCTTTGTTAGTTGAAGGAATGCTTTATTTGTATTAGTGCTTGTTTGTTTTCCTTTTTGTCAAGACCTTCCAGATTCAGGGAACAAGTGGGGGGATATTAGCTTCGCATTCATAATTGAATCATAGTTACCTTTGTCCTTTATTATCTGTTACAAATTGAAATATTGGACAGGCTGGCTCTTTTTGCCTATAACATGATTCATGATTTTTTTAACATTTTTCTCGATGTGATTCTACTTTATTCCAAGCTTCAGTTTATGTGCATTTATCTCTAACTTGATGTCCTTTTCTTTGCAGTTGATATTATCTCAGCCATTGAATTTGATAAATCTGGAGACCATCTTGCTACTGGAGATCGAGGAGGACGTGTTGTTTTATTTGAGAGGACAGATGTTACAAATGTATGTTAAATGGCTTGTCTTCAAGCTGCTGCCTATTCTGTTTCATTGTGCTAATTATTTATTATTGATCTCTTCTGTGAATTTTGTGTTCAGCATGGTTTGCGGAAGGATCTGGAGAAGCAAGATTATCCAATTAGCAGACACCCTGAGTTCCGCTACAAAACTGAGTTTCAAAGTCATGAACCTGAGGTACTTATTTCTGAATTCAAACTGTTAAAATTATTAACCTCTGATTTTGTTAAATAGACCTTTGATATGGATTTTTCATGTTCTTATTCAGTTTGACTATCTCAAAAGCTTGGAAATAGAGGAGAAGATCAACAAAATTAAATGGTGTCAACCAGCCAATCATGCTCTTTTTCTTCTTTCTACGAATGACAAGACAATTAAATATTGGAAGGTAGGTGCCATTCTCAACATGCATATGTTATCATCCTTCTTACTATGCCACTGAAAATAGCAACATTTCTTTTGAAAAGTTATGTTTTTCTTTATAGTCAACCACTGGATATGTTTGTTAGTTTTCTGATTGTATATGAACAATGCACTCATCTGTTTCTTGCTCTTCCAGAGGATTTTTATATGTTTATATACCTAATCATGTATACTTGGTTTTTGACTAAGTTGCAGTTTTTTCTGTTCCATATTAATGATATGTAAATTCATTATCATGAATCTCAACTCAAATAAATATTCTCTTTTTAGTGCTTTAGATTGTTCTGGAATATTTTTCTGTTTATGGCTATTGAAAACTGTAGTCTGCAAGTGGTCTCTCCAGAATTTCTTGTTCTCTTAGTATGTATTTAATTTAAAATATATAGAAAAAAATTGAGATTTTCTGATTTGTGCTTCATGGCTATTGTTTATTTGAGGACAATGTTGTCTCATAATGGTGATGCTTCTGTAGTCATTCAAAGATTCAATTTAAAATTTGCTTCTAAAGTTTTGGTTCTTAAACAGGTTTGACTATGTTTTTTTTTTATGAGTTATACTTTTTACGTGTCTTTCTTTCTGTTATAATATCTATGGGTCACTTCCTTTCATTGATTGTATTTACAATGTTCGGAATTTCTCTAGTCATTTTTACTAAAAAAATATTTTTTAAAAAAGAAGTAAATATGCTGAAACAAATCTGTTCATACAATTGTAGGATATTAAAAGCACCACTTTGATTGTTTTACAAAAAATACATATGCACAAAGTTATAAAAAGAAATATAAATTGTCATGATTTCAGTAAAAAAAATTGTGACTTTCTGGAACTTCTATGGAATTTCAGAGAATTTTGTACGAAATATTTAATACTTGTGATAATAAAATTTGAAATTGTGAGGTTAGGACTAACGATGAAAGCAGATTTGAATTTGAAGCACATTGCTTTTAAATGCTTATCATATCACCTTGTTATTGTTGTCTTTGTACCTTTTTGTTTGCAGTTGTTTGAAGCTATGTCTATTCAATTTCCTTTTGTTCTTTTGGAATAATACCCTGTTATGCTGTTTCTCTTTTAGGTGCTCTGGTAATATTTATTGCTTTTGGATCCATACAGGTAAAAGAAAGAAAAGTCAAGAAAATTTCTGAGATGAATGTGGATGCTTCAATAGCTGAACAAAATGGCAACATTGCTAGTTCAAGCGTGAATTGTCCTGGTGGATATCTTCCAAATGGTGGATGTTCTGAGAGGCCATACAATCACCTCAACAACGAGTTGTCGTTTCCCCCTGGAAGGCTTCCATCACTACGTCTGCCCATGGTAGTTGTGCTTAACCCATCCTTATTGTCATACAAACCATGATTTACAACATAGACGCATGGATAAAGAAAAGACGTTCAAAAGAAGTACATCCATTCAACAATTGACTGTGTTTCTATAAATAACTGGGACATCTCAGTTGTACATGTTTGCATTTTTCATGACATTTAATGCAGTGATGACTTCTTTTATTTGCAGTACTTTCTATCATGGTATTGTTTTGAAGTGCAGGTTTTGCTGTTGAATCAATGAATAATGGTCCTTGTGTATGTTTTACTTGTATACACAGGTGACAAGCCAAGATACCAATCCCATTGCCAGATGTCGAAGGATATATGCTCATGCTCATGATTACCACATAAATTCCATTTCAAATAACAGGTGAGTTATATATATGTATATATTTGTTTTCCAATGTGCTAGTTCCTGCCTTGCTTCATTTCATACATGTTTCAGTTTTTATTGTGCAAATGCTCTTTTGATGCATTTTTTTCATCTTATAAGCCGAGTAATTGTCCTTACATTGTTTCTTTTGTTGTCATGGATAAGTTTTTATGAGCTGATTCTGGTGCCACTAATGGACTTAGCGATGCCACCTGCTAGTTCAGCAACTCAACCTACTCCTTTATGGATTCTACATTATGCTTAACCCCACTACCTATGGAGTTAGTCACTTGTAAATGACTGTTTTATTGTAGGAAATTTTTGATGTTTTACAGGAAGAGCGAGCAGGGATGTGGAAATGACTGAACTCTGTACAAAGTTCAACAATGAAACTAGAAAATTTAAATTGTCTAACATGAACTAGTTAATATGCTGCTCTTACCTGACTCATCCTCTTTCTAGTTGGTGGATGTGTAAATATCTACAAGCAAAGCTTACAATGAAGATTACAGACACTCAGATTCCTAGTATGAGCAAATGGTTGTTCAAGTTGGTTCTGATATTGCATCTGATGACATGAGGAATCACTTGACTACTTCACGTGCCTTTTGAGGTAATGGAGTTGTGGCAGTTGCTGCATGTAAGTTTGAGTTTGATAACTTGGTTGGAAGTCTCTCTTAATTTCCATTGCGTGGTAGCCTGTTGGAATGTATTGTCAATTATCAAGAGCTATTGTTTGAATTTGGCATTTGGATTATGCTTATAGTTCTTGGACAATGTGGTCAAACATTATCTAAGAAGTAAAGATTCAATTATGAGATCGCCTTGTCAAGAACATTACGGGTTGCTGATTAATAATGTTTATGTGAGCAAAGAGTTAGTGGTGGCATGAGCAAGTTCAAAAAGGCAATCACTACAAAAATTTATATATTAAGGATTTCAAAAAACATAAAATGAGAAGTAATTTACAAGATATATTGTATCTGTAATAGAGAAAAAAATGGGAAGTTTGGCAAAACACAAGCCCACAGTAGTTTTCATAGTAAGTTAGATTCTAAGAATGTGGAAATGAATATTCATTAGATTGCTGAAGATAGCTTTGTGTAACATTGAATGTGTAAGTGAAGGAGATCAAAATGTGTTTGTTAATGATATGAATATTATTTTCTAAGTTATTTGATGAATATTCTACTGATAACTTATCCTTAGAGATAGACAATAGTGGGAGCATAGAATAATCATAGAATTCATAGATTTTTTTACAAATCTAGAACAAAGCAAAGGATAAAAGACATCTTATACAAGACACTTTAAAAAGAATGAAATAGATAAGAGAATATGATTTGATGTTGATGGTATTTTTATTAAGGTTTGGAAGAACTGAAGAGGCCAACTAAGAATTTGGTTGACTAATTTATGTAACAAAATTTTGATAGTCAGTTTGATGAATGAATGAAGAGTTTTTTGTACCAACTTATGGGAATAAAGGGTTGTTCAAAGATGCTTTAATTATAGAGGAATAAATGAGTCACACTTTGAAACTTCGGGAAATGATGGTTGAAGGAAGAATAATTTGTGAAACAAGTATTTTTGTGATCATAAATTTTATTGATACAATTAATGAAAAAATAGGGAGAAGTTTTTATTTACAAAAAACTTATGATGAAGTTCTAGGAGATTTATTATGATAGATTTATGACAAGAATGAAATATCTAGTTATAATATTAATGTGTAAAGATATGTATAATAAAGTAGTTACTAATGTAAGTAGTATAAGGAGTATGTCAATCAAGTTTCCTTAACACTAAAGAATTTCATTAATGATCCACTTAAATAATTACCTTTTCACATTGGTAAGGGATGAAACCACAAGCCATATAGGACAAACTTTCATGATTTATTTTATTCATTTTGCTAACAATGTTGATTTTATTGATGAAAATTTAGTTGGGATTAAATTTTAAACTTGAGTTATGGAGATAATTTTTAGAAATTAAAGATTTTAGATTCTGTAATTATAAAATTGAAGATATGAAATGTAGGCTGCATACATTGACCCTTCCTAGACTCTGCATTGGTGGGAGCTTTGTGTACTGGATATGTTCTTTTTTTTTTATAATTATAAAATCGAAATCATGAAATATAGCTTTAGAAAGAATTTAGAAAAGAGTGCTTCGTTTGCAGGAGAGTAGGAGCATTGGTTTGGCAGCCAGGGCTTGCGAAGCGGGTGGGCATGTGGGCAACTCTTGAGTCGTGGTCTGTGATGTGTAAGAAACACCCATGAGAAAACCTAAGCAATTAGATATAAACCAGACCATTCAAAAGGGACAGTCCTTGCTCCAGTCCATGCTCTGATTGGTAAATATTAGTCGATACAGACCGGCCCGAATGAAATAGTATTCCTTGATGCTTGATAGAGACAACCGTTACTTGACATCATCTTTGCATTTGTGCTGGCATACCAGAGGATCCTTAGGCATGTAACCTGGCCTAGTTACAAGCACCTTTGTATATGTCTAATTTCTGTGTTGCATTTGCACTGACAGTTCTTTTTATTTTACTCGATAACACTTTGCACTCCTTTACTGTAAGTTCAAATTTCTACCGACTGGTTATTTTTTCATGGACAACCATACATGAGATCAAGAGAAAATAGTAGGTGTTGAATTTGTTTGTATGCTTTAGGCACAAGTTCTCTTTCCTTTGCTCAGAAACTTTGGAATATTTTAGTTGCTTTATGTCAGCGACTTTGTTTCCTCTATACTTACATCTGTACTTCTGTAATTTGACAATGGATCTGTGTCATATGATTATTATATCAGCACATAACATACTGCAAAATTGTTATTAGTGGCTAGATATGGTTGATTGTCTACTTGTGTGTTTTCAGCTTCAATTAAACAAACTGCTGATTCCTTTTCTCCACTCAGTGATGGTGAGACGTTTATATCAGCAGACGACCTACGAATAAATCTTTGGAATTTAGAGATCAGCAATCAGAGCTTCAATATTGTTGATGTGAAGCCTGCAAATATGGAGGATCTAACTGGTACTTCATCGTGATTGAAATTGCACAAATTGTTAAGTATTTAGGGCTTGAGTAGTCACTTCGGTTTATTATCAGCAATCTTCTGATTCTTAAATCATATTTCATTCATGATTTAAGGGTTTGCACTTTCAGGTTATTTCTAGCCATGCTGTGAATCTTAAATATGTTTTCCTACTTAAGATGCTACTGTGGTTGCCTTCCATGAAATGTTTAATCAAAGTGTGTGGGACCTTTGTTTTCATGTGCAGTCTCTTCTAATTTTTGTGTCTTCAGGAATAGTTCATTGTGGGAGCTGCTTTTTTATGGAAAGAGACATAAGAACAATTGTTATTCTAAGAATTTAAATTTGGATCAGTAGCTGTCCAAGGAAACCACCAGACCAGTACAGAACTGATATGCCTGGATGTAAACTGACTTGTAAAACCTGATATTATTTAATAAAATAATATAAATAGTAAAAATGAACAATCTTGAACCAGTATCGATTTGTTTATATATTTTAATACCGATGCTTGGTCAGATCAGTATATATCGGTATGTACTCACTGGTATGGTTGGGATTGGAATCCTTGGGTTACTGTACTGTCAATTGACTTCACTATATCCAACATACTCTTTTGAATCTGCTGTCTTAAAACAAGAAACTGCTTCACTAGTTGGATTATTTGTTATAATAAATTCTGGCCCCAAATAATATTTATTTCGTCTAAGGTCTTAATAGTCAATTGGTTTAAGGCCTTAACAGCCAGAAAAGAAGAAAATCCTAATTCTAAGTGGTTAACCTGAACTTGCAACCAGATTCAGATGAAGTTATAATTGGTCATTATGGATCAAATTAAATATGCTAATGTTGAGAATTTGATCTGTGCAAAAGAACTTTTCCTCTGCTTGACATTAATTTGCAGTCCTTTTTGGTTCTTGTGAATAGTACAATGAACCATATCTAATGGTTATGTCACAATAAGTCAAGGAATCAAGGTTTTCCTTGCTGTAGTTATAAGCTAAGGCCTTTGCTTAGCTTCAGCTTCTGCATTCTTGTGAATGCCATTCTGGGAATTTGTCGCCTGGGAATATTGGTGGATATGTCATTATGATGGGTGATGAGTATGTCAGCTCATGGCATGTTTAATGTACCTCCCGCATTGTGTTAACTGTTTTTTGTCTCTGCTAATTCATTCTGTTGCCTTTCATGTCTATCTGCTTTTGGTTTGGAGTTGCAGTCTTTTGATGCATTATTACCATAGCTTCTAGTGTTTGAGTTGTGATAATTATTTCTGAACCGTAAGTTTTGTTACATTTCAGAGGTGATTACATCTGCAGAATTCCATCCAACCCATTGTAACATGCTGGCATATAGTAGCTCAAAAGGATCAATCCGGCTTATTGATTTGCGGCAGTCGGCATTATGCGATAACCATTCTAAGATGTAAGTGATTCCTTCTTGCATATTGAGTTCCATCTATTTAAAATGAATATTAAAATAAACCTCATTGTCTTGATATCATTTGATATGGCTAGTGAGAGACTTTACCGACAGGTTTGAGGAACGTGACACACCTGGTTCAAGATCATTTTTCACGGAAATCATTGCTTCGATTTCAGATATTAAATTTGCAAAGGATGAAAGGCACATCCTTAGTCGTGATTATATGACTCTTAAGGTTCCTTCTTTTTGTTCTTGTACCTCGTCTTTGCTTTTTGTTTGTTTTCTCCCTTTGTTCATGTAAAATCATAGAATAACCTAAAACAAGAACAACTTGTATAAACCTTAAATATGCAGTTTTTTTTTCCACTTCCTCTGACAAATGATTAATCTATAGTCACATGGACTGTTTCTTAGAATTTTTTCTTGTGACTTGCATATCACATTTGTTTTTTCATGACTGCTCCATTATGTTCACAAAAATGTTCCCTCATGTGAGCTATTCTTCTTGCCATAGTTCATGGTTTTGAAAGGTTTGTTTTGTTGAATGAGCAACATATAGAATAATTCACCAATCCAGATAATTGCATGTTGTGTGGAGTTCAAATATTACAATATTGCTTATGCCACTTCGAGAACCATTTTTTTTCTTTTTGTGGTTCTGTCATTGTCTTGTTTAATTTGGCTAAACTATGTCAATGATGATGAGAGAAGTGTTCCCATGATCTTAGTCTTATTCAAGAACAATTTGCTGTGTTATTATTTTCCTGATAACTTCAATTTATTCTAGTTGCTAATACTGTACTTCTCTCATACTTAGTTTACCATGTATGGCATGGGATATTTAACTAGTACACTCAGATATATGTATTTATACTCATGTTTAAGTGTGTTGTGCATACCAAAGGGCGTTGACAGTTTTTTTCCCTTGATTGATATAGGAAAAGTACTTGGGTTTTCTTCCAGTTAAAAGTGATGGAGAAGAGAGTTTGATGTACATATTTTGGATTCTGGCTTGTTCATTGTCCTTAGTTCTATTGTATTGTCTGATGTTATTCTCTAATTGGTTGTTTTACAAAGACATTAGACACTTCCAAGAAATAACCAGAAGAGAAAAGAATTAGGTCTTGACACATTTGTCTTTGTAGTTAGATAAACTCTTTTGTAGAGATGAAATCTTCAAATCAAATCAGATTTTAACTTCTTAAATTTGTACTCAATTGACATCCTTTTTCTTCTCCTTAAACAGCATAGGAAAGTAAAGTAGAAATATGGGAGATGATGCCAAGTGGCAACTTATGATATTTTGCAAAATGCCCCCTAAACTAGTCAACTGTATTCAAATTATAAATATATTGAAGTGATCCCACAAAGAAGCTTATGGTCTTCTTAATCAAGCCTTTTGTAAACTAACATTGCCTCTATGAACTAGCTGGGTAAGATTGTACATTTACTTGTATAAATATGTTGTGTAATATTAAGACCCTTTAAAAGTATCCTACATCACCAATTTTTCATAGTACTTATTGTCATATTTATTTTGGAAAAAAAGAAAAACAAAAGAAATGGTTGAATATGGTTTGGGTTCGTCAAGTTTTTTGAATAAAGTGAAGTTTTTTGAATCTAAGAATGCAGCTCGTTTAGAGTCTTTAGACATAGTCAATATTTTTGTACCTTATAAGTGAAAGGTTGAATATGGTTTGGGCTTATCAGTACAACGCAAGAAATCAGTTTAAGCTGAGAACATGCGAAACTATATGATATTTAGGAACATTTCATGGAACCTAAAATATACAAGATAAGAAATTTTAGGTAAAAAGATGATACTGAAATATAATCTGTATTATAAATAATATACACCATAATTTTCCAAATTGGTGGTTAGGCTAGGTTCAGGTTTAAGTCAGGTTGTTCCCAGTCCAACCTAACCGGAGATCAGGTTGAGATATTTCTTTATCAAAATTTTCAAAATTCCAACCCTACTCTCTCAATGATCAAGTTGGGTCGGGCACTGTTGTGTTGCTCCTTCAATCGTTACAGGCATAGGTGAGGAGACCGCAGAAAAGGTATTGCTCTATATCATCATGTTCTTTGCAAATGCTACTCTGATTTTTCTTGATCATGTGCTTGCATTATCTTATTATGTTGTCCTACATCTGTTTAGCGATGATGGAATATCCTTCCAAAATTTTGTCTGATAAAATATCACAATTTTCAATTTTGTTTTCCTGTTCTTTTTGCAAATTGTTCTGTGCCTCTCATATAGTTTCGTTCTTTACTATCAGCTATGGGACATAAATATGGAGTCAGGTCCAGTTGCAACTTTTCAAGTCCATGAGTATTTGAGGCCCAAGGCGAGTGTGTTTTCTCAATTTCCATAATACCTATAACCTGGATGGACAGTATTGCATATAATACCATGGATGGAGTTTGATAATTATACTACTTTTGCTCTGCAGCTATGTGATCTATATGAGAATGATTCGATCTTTGACAAATTTGATTGCTGCCAAAGTGGAGATGGGTTGCGTGTGGCAACTGGTTCTTACAGGTATATTTTCACAATCATCGAGTGATAGTCCTATGGTGTTACACTTCTCGGACTTGTATTTATTAACATAATACCGCTAATTCAATTTCAGCAATCTTTTTCGTGTTTTTGGCTGTATGACTGGAAGCAATGAAGCAACTACGTTGGAGGCTAGTAAAAATCCAATGAGGTATGCTAGCTACTGTAAATTTAGAAGCTTGGTTGTTAACGGTCTAGGGTGCATTTACATGTAGTTAGAAGATTTGCAGTGAAAGAACTATTGATTGAGGTCATAATCAGATTGATAAAACACATTCTAGCATTACCTCTGTATAGTAAGCATTTGTAGAATCAATGAATAAACTCTATGGCTTTAAGTTCAATAACATTATGTATCAAAGAGAGTATTTGGCATAGGGGAATCCTGTTTCTGTTAGTGCATTATCTATGTGTGTTATTAAGTTCCAGCATTTCATGCTGATGTTGTCTTGCTATGAATAGGTTTGGTAACTCATGCAAAATGGAACTTTGCTGCATTTCAAAAAGTTAAATCATCTCCTTATCTTCTCTCTCTCTCTCTCTCTCTCTCTAGAACTAAGAGTAGCAGATGACACTTTGGTACCTTTTCTTCAATTTGTTTTGAAACTAACATTGTCCATGTTTTTGCATTAGTGAAATAGAGCTTTGACTGGCTGGTATCATTTTCCTTTTGCATTATTATTGGGGCATTCAGTATGGCTGTCTTTTTTGTGTTAAAATTGTACAGGCAACAAGTGCAAACCCCTTCAAGGCCTGCAAGATCTCTGAGCACCTTGACACGTGTTGTCAGACGAGGTTAGTCCCTATGGACTAGAGTTTTTCCTCTCTATTTTATTTGATAAATGGAAGTCTTTTAAGTGCCTTTCTTCTTCTTTATGCTGTCTCATCTTGTGTTTAATTGCCACAGGATCAGAAAGCCCTGCAGTCGATGCCAATGGAAACACATATGATTTCACAACCAAATTACTCCATTTAGCTTGGCACCCAACTGAAAATCTGATTGCCTGTGCTGCTATGAACAGCTTGTACATGTATTATGCATGAAGATGGTACTGGAAGGGAAGGTCTCAATTTGCTGATTTTTAAAAATAGTTTGCTTCTGATGGCTGACATATGCAATGTGCAGTGAGGAGGATGTGTAGGTGATTTTTACGCGTTCACATCGTCTCCAGAAGATGGTATGCAAATTCATGAGGCAATTCAGATCTTCCATTTGCAGGGCGGCTGCTTTTGATTGATTCTTTGGAAAAAGATTGACTAGTAGTGTTCTATTTCGGGGTCCCAAGTAAACTGTCGCTCTCTCATTCCATACTCCAGTCTCCAAAGAGCTGTTCAGGAGCGGGGATGAAAGGGCATGGGAGCTTGTGACGTTGGGTTTTCATGTCAGTGCTTGTGAAAGCTCCTATCATGATTATTGTTAACATGTATGTACACACTGAGATGTGTCAGCTTCTTGATCGTTCGATCATGATAGCCTTGCAGTTTAGAAATTGCTCAAACGACTTAATGTCTATCTCCATCGATAATTAATTTGTTAAGCTGTCAAATAAACAGGCTTGGTTGCCTTCTTGTATGATCGCTTGTTCTGTTTTATCCCTGAATTCATAGATATAATGTTTTTTGGTAAATCCATGAGAGAAAAACATTGGGATATTAGTAGTCATCTGATGTTTCTACCATTTATTGATTCTGGAATTCAAGTTTCAGATTCTTGGTCCCCTTGTGATTCGATTTGAAAGCGATACTGAAAATGAGGTTCCTTGAACTGGATCATTTTGTATCTGATATTGATTTGATTGCTAATCTGATCAAGGAAGCTGCATATGTGAACTCTCAGATTACTGTTTGTCTATTTATCACTTTTAATTGAGAGAAGAGTGCTTATGCATATGAATTCAATGGTTGGTATGGGATTGCTTATTCTTTCTCGACCCCTAATATTATACAAGTGTGTATGCTCATGAGGCATTTGGTCATAAAGCACTTTTAGTTCCAACAAATGGTTAGAGTCAAAAAGTGCCTAATGTACTGTGCGAGTTGCCTGAAAATTTCTTCTTTTTCGTTATTTTTATAAGGCATTCCCTGTTTTCATTTTTTTTATATAGTGACCTTATTTGTTGTAATTTCATAAATGTCTTTTTAGCTGGTTGCCTTTGTTTTATCGATGTCGCTTGCTTGTGGCCTAATGTTTTTTTTTTTTCGCTGGTTGCCTTTGCTTTATCGATGTCGCTTGCTTGTGGCATAATGTTTTTTTATATAGTGCCTAATGTACGGTGCCTCTCACCTATCACCTTTGCCTTGTCGGTGTCGCTTGCTTGTGGCCTTCGTCACCTCTGTCCCTTGTTCCCTTGTTCTCGTTGCGAGGCTTTATACTTTTCTGATGTCTTTCTTACTTGTCGTTTTTTTTTTTTGCTCCCATTATGAGGCCTTGTGTCTTTCTCTATTCGTTGCTTGCATCTCTTGTCCGTCATCGTGAGGTCGTGCCCATTGTGCCTGTCACCTTTCTCTTATCCGTCATTGCGAGGTAGAGGAAGAACGGACATGATAGACATGAGGTCGTGCCCATCGTGCCTGTTACCTTTCTCTTGTTCGCCATTGCGAGGTAGAGGAAGAACGGACATGATAGACGTAACGAGAAGAGAAGAGCAAAGGAAGAACGAACATGATAGACGTAACGAGAAGAGAAGAGCGCATGAAGGTCAAGGTGATGGATGAGAATCGATGAAAAAGGGGATGTGGTGATGAGCCAATGCCATATAAGTAATGGATGAAAAAGAAAAAAGACGTTTATGAAATTGCTGCAAATGAATATATGAAAAACAAAAATAAGGAGCACCTTCTCGGAAGAAATCGAAAAAGGATTTTTGTTTTTGGAGAGAAATCGTCCTAAATATATTACTTCCTTGCGAATGGTTGAAATGCCGATGGTGGCTTAATAGGAAACTGTGACGATGGCAGCTATAGGAGTGTCGTGTAGCATATTTGCAGCGATAATGGTTGTGAGGCTGGTAATGATAGCGGTGGTGGGTCATCGTAATGGTTGATGAAGGAGATAGTACTGCTATGATTTCTTCCGATCGTGGCAGAACAGTTCTTCTTGGTCTTATTAATTTTAGCGCATGACACTCTGCGAGTCACTTGCGAGATGATGAACTCCTGCAACAAAAACTCCATTATCCTAAGCAATCATCACACTTAAAAGTAGGTTGGATGGAGACCACTGGCTTAATACTTGAACCTGATTCGCTTTTGTGATCACACATAGTTGTATGATGAGCAAGAGGAGTTCTTAGATCAAAATTCTTATACATTATCCCCAGTGTCTTTAGAGAGAGACTGAGAGAGAGAGAGAGAGAGAGATTAGCTAACAGCTGGTTCTTTTTATCCATGCATATACACTCAGCTGTAAAGGAATGAGTTTGGAGGACCAGAAGAAAGCAAGAAAGCATCACGCGTGCACAGAAAGAAAAAGAGAGGCCAATAATGAATTCGGACATCATCTTTCTTCCAACATTATCCTACCTGTATCCAGCAACGAGAGACTACGGCCCAGCAATTGGATTAGCCCTTCGGCCACTGTTCTCAAGAAACAAAAGATATTTCATCCATCACATCACATCACAGCTCTGTTTATATACACTAACAACACTACATATCACGTCACAGCTCTATTCAGCACCCACCATGGAAAGCAGTACAAGAAACGACAGCAACCTCTCCCACAAAAGTAACACATTCATACGGAGCTGTTTGACATGCACATCGTAAGATGAAAGACCCAACAGTAGTGACTGAAATAAGGCAGCTAATCATACTACTGCGAAAATATGATCGGCAAAGTAAACAAGACAAGGTTTATATTATTGATGTCCAAAGTAAACAAGACAAGGTTTACAGGCTATGACTGAAAATGAATGCAATAGGATCTCATTTACTAATAATCTCAGCTTTCCGAAGCTTGTCCTCTCTTGTCTCGATCTATATCTAATAACCTGGTCTATGTCAAACGGCCTATAGCAGATGTAATTATTACATCAAATTCTAAGGTTTTCACAAAACTGATCATTTAAAGGGTGAATTTTCACCTAGCTGAAGGTCTGAATCCCCTCTGCGTTAAAAATTGATACTTACGAGTGACTTGCCAGTCTTGATGGGTTTCAGCTTTACGCCCATGCTCTCAGGCGAGAGCAGTTCCAGGGAGATGCATGATGGACTAAGTGGACTCCTTGGACTGCAACTTAGTTCCTTGGGCCTGTACAGGTTAAATCCTGCAAGAAAATACTCCATTGGTGATAGCATTGCATGTGGCTGCTCTTCTGTGACGAGCGATCCACATTTTTTAACCTGCAGAGACGAATTAATTGCATCATAAATCAACCATCAATCTTACTAATGAAGAAAATAATGCAAATGTAGTGGAAGACAATAAATCTTACTGATGAAGTACCTCAACCAACACACTGTTTTCTCTGTCAAGTTTTGTGGCCATGTCGAGGGCATCTGAGCGGAAGGGAGAGTTCTCACCGACAAAAATTAGCATCCTACATTGAAGTTCCTTCAATGCTTCTGTTAAGTCATGACGTCTGTTTTAGCATAAAAGGGTTAAAGAATTCTTCATTATCTTTCGTCCGCAGATTAACATTTCAAGGAGCAAAACAGTAAGAATTAAAAACATACTCATTTATCGACTGCAGAAACCACCAGATGTTGGCATTCCGCCTTTCGTCTAGCAACTGCAAAAAGAAAATGATAACATTTGCAAAGAAACCTTGGATATAGCAAAATGTTGCTTAAATGTTCCTCCCAGATCAGATGTGAAGCCACAAGAGGAGCAAATACTAACACGTCTGCATGCTTGTACGATATCTGATTCAGGATCCTGTGAAGTTCCACGAACTTCCTGCCAAAATAGACTAAGACATGAAATGAATGATGCATAGAGGTGAGTTATTAGGCTGGAGACAACTGATGCTAACATACCTCACCGAAATATCGCTGAATCAACCATTCCTTAATTACGTCACACATTCCATAGAAGTAGAGAACATTTGACACTACCTAAAGATTCAGATTTTCCCTAATTAGGAGCAGTATACTTCGCCAACTGGGAACAGAAACATCAGTAACTAAAAACTTTACCTTGTTACATATCCATTCTTTCCATGAGGGAGCCTTACATAAAGGTGAAACAAGTATCAATCCGACAACACGTTTGCTATACTTCAACTTTACAAACACAGAAAAAAAATTAAATCAATAAAGATAAGAAATAAGCAAATAATAAAAGAACCTTCGTTTTCACAAAAAAATGGAGGATCTTGGTTGCAGAATCGCTTACTGCTAAAAGGGTAAGAATATAAGCTCCTGCGGTGACTCCCAAGCACACGACGGAATCCAACCTGCAAAGAACAAGTCATGAAAAATTAAAATGTTGAAAACAAAGGAAAAGCAACTTCCAGACACAATACTGCACATTTGAGGGAAAAAATAACTTCAGTATTATATGATTTAGTTACCCAAAAAAATCAAGCACAACTGCCACCTGCTCTGCTAACTGATCAACAGAGAGTACCGGGACATCCGAAGATATAGGAACAGCACCTAACTGCAGGATTTTTTAGGAAGAAGACCAAAAATATCATGTTCACATGAGTTCAAATTGCAAAATGTTGATAATCCACTAGTTCCTTTTAATAAGCACAAATCATACTTTAGCTGCAATCTAGTTGCTGACCTCATGTCCTGGAGGACTAATGTGATAGATGCAGAAATTATAAAGAAGCAAAGAAGCAACTTCAGGACATAAAAATAATCCTTGAAAGCAGGACATATCTGAATAAATCAATAAAAACAGTAAGTTAGGCACAAAAACTTCTCCATTCTAGTGAGAACTTAGCAACGAAAATGTGCAACCCATTCTATCAATTTTTTGCAACAGATAATAAGCTCTTCTGTAAGGAACAGGATAGGCCAAGTACAAGTAAGCATGTATTATTGGGCTACTTAAAAATAAAATAATGATGTTTTAAGCAATCAATGTCTCAAAAAAAAGTACAATGTCAAAAGAGGTGCCATGGATGATCATACACACAGAGGCTTTTTAACCATGGGTTGAATAAAACATGATTAGGTTATTTTAAAAAAATGCAAAAAAAGAGATTAAGAGCAACTGCTATAAGAACTTTGAGATATATGTGTTGAAATCTCATGATATCTAATTTTTATAGATAGAAACAGAATACAAAGTGCTCATTTTGTATATCACCCAACTTACGGTTTAAAGCAACATCTGGGTAAGTAACAAGCGCAGGCTTTTCCGGATCTCCATAGAAAGAAACTGATAAGGAACCATGGTTGGTTAGCACATGATGTTCCTGAGAATGGCAAGGATATTTATATGATTGAGCATCAATGAAGAAAGAGAAAAAAGATCAATATGTAAAAAAAAAAAAAATTAACGTAAATCAAAAGCATTAAAATGAAAAAAACAAAAATACAAGATGAACCTGGACTGCACTAATAGGTCTATGTGAATTCATATGGAGTAGGTTGAGTGAAATTTAATGAACAGAATTGCATTGAAAATTGTCAAACTTTTAACAGTAACAGGGACTAAATGGACATTACCTTACCTTCCAAAAGATAGTATGCATATCAAATTGGCTCCTTGACAGCAGCGAGGAAACAGAATATGAAAATACAGAAAATAAGGTTACAGAATTTGGAAAGAGCTTTTTCGGTACTTCATCCATGTACAGAAGAGTAACAAACTAAAGAACTAGAAGGAAAATATAACATCATAAAGTAACAGAGAGTGAGACTATTATTCACTTTACAGGAAATGGCAGAAGAATTGCTAGCAACACAGTTGTTCATTAGGCAGTTGTCAAGAAAAGAGAAAAAAAATATCATTGAGACAAAAAAATGACTATGCCTGATGAAAGTATACATTTAGACAAAGTGGAATTAACCTAATGACCACAGAGTTGCAGTAACTTTTTACTTCACAGTAAAAATATACAAATTATGAGCATCACTAAACTTGGCTAACACCATGAAAATTTAAGTGATTAAAAGATTTTATATAGTCAAAATTTAAAAAGAAAAACATCCTCAACACGATACCCAGGAGGTCTAGACACTGGGTTATAAATAGGGAACAGGTGGTAGTCAAATGATTTAATCAGAATTTAATATTCTTACAACATATAGGTCCCATATACTAACAAGAAGCAGATCTGTTGCCTCTAAAATTACAACACAAACATCTCAAGGCTGTAGGTCTATTTTAAGTGTTCAGAGCCATCTTAAATTCCACTTTCAAGCAAATGAAGTTACAAATGTAAATATACATATCTACACCGATGAATTCAAGATCCCTTGTTTAAATCCCCTATGGCCCTAAATGAGCTATTATATCTCTATAAGAACATTAAAGAAGACAACTTTGACAATGAAGCAACAATTTATAACTTTTCCCTTCCTAATCCAAAAGTAACATGCTGTTGAGGCAAGAAGTTAAAATAACCGCATTCTCAAGCATTAAACATCATTTATCGTCTAAAACTCGGACCTCATCATTCATCACAAATTCCGACATAACTTCACTGCAAGAACAATTCCGCTTTTGAACTTACTTTCAGTATATAAGAAGTACAATGTTACTAACATAACTGGACCCAACAGATGATTCCTGAAGCAATCCACTGAGCCATATCTCCAGCTAAACAATTGCCACGAAGAAGTTCCAAGAAACAAGCAATCAAGTTCAGAACACGAAAGAATTGAATCAGCGCAAACAACAAACCAGTTCAAAAAATTCCATTTTGACGTCCGTACGCTCAACCATTCGCAGTAAGGAAACAAGAAAAAGCTCGCAAGCGGACGATATCACCACTCCGTACATCATCAATCAATCACATACCAAAACCCACTATCTCAACACCCAACACCGTAAAACACGCAAATAAAACCCTTAAAGAACAACCAAAACTCGAAGAAAGTGACGAACTGCACAAGCAGAGAGACGCGCTCAACCGCGCAACCAACACAAGATCCAAGATTTTACCCATTACGAAGCCAAAAGAGAGGAGGAGAAGAGCCCAGGCGGACCAGGGGTAACCCTAACCTGCCCTCCGAACGATAACCTCTCCATATACCCCGAGACAGAGCCGTTCGATCCCCCCAGTGCGCTCCCAAGGCAGCCTCTTCCGCGATGAACCGAACACGCCCTCCTCTCTCTCCTTCCGTCCCTCCCTCTCCCAGATACATGTATTTGCTTTCAATCGCGATGAAGCCCACCAACGCCCGAGGAATCGCCGACTTTTACCTTCCGTGGGCTTGGTGGATCTCAGCCGTCCATCATCGGTCAAACAGAGGCTTGACCTCGTCAGGTGAGGCCAAGTGTCCACCAGCGATCCCAGGTGAGGAAGGGAGAGCAGTTCTGCTGTCCTCTTGGTGGTCCCCGACGGATGGCTTACCCGTCTCAACTACCTTCCCGGTGGTGGAGGCGGGGCCCGCTTGTGGGACCGAATGTACCTCCAATCATCAGGAAGGTAACACGTCGGAGAAGAACGACGGTTGAACGAAACCCGCCTGGCAACCTGACAGTGGACCCGAAGAGGAGATGGGCCCACATCTCCAGGGGTAAAGATGAAATTTTCTTTGATGCCTTAATTAGATGTTAGTTGGGAAGGAAGCAACCAAATATTCTGTCAAGTAACCAAACAAGCAAAAGAAGTCATGTTTGGCCAAATACAACAATAATACACCCATGGTAGGAGAACTGTTCCTTGCACTTAACATTCCACTTCTCCTCAAGAAGTGGAATGTTAAGCCAAGGCAAAGTCATTAACATGATTAACAACCAAAATCTCTTCTTCTTTCTCATATACATAAAATCCTGATGAAACATTTGTAATTTGTGTTCTTTATTCTGCTTTATACAGAATGATACATGAGATATGAAGTAGAATCTTTGTTGGTAAGTCTGCACCACAAATAATGAGCAAAGTCTTCATGAGGCCATTTTGATTGGGACATTAATGACCTCAATGCCTGCAGATTGCTTCTTTATTCTCTCTGACTGGCAGTTTCACAAGAAAGCAGTACAGATGTGTCACATTGCATGATTGGAAAAAGTGGCAATGAAATCAGTAGATTTATATAAGTCAGCTTGATGAGAGCAATATATTTGGTGTCTAAAATGTTACAAGAAGGAAAGAAAGAAAATTGTCAGTGTTCTTGTTCTGCTCATGAGAAAGTAGGTAATGGAACAGTGCTTCCCAACCACATCAACATTTGTAGCTCATCTAAAACCTTCATCAACTACCTTATCATTTGTCTTTTTACTTGTGTAGGTGAGAATTAGACAGGATTAGTTGCACCTCTTCAGAGGTAGAATCAGTGTGAGCCCAATCACACAGTAGAAATATAATCAATATTCCATTTATTATGATCTCAATCAGAATTCCTATGTTAAGCAATTCATTTCAAACACTTCTTGGACTGATTTAGAGGTCTGGAAGGTATTCTCAAAGTCCAAAAGGCTCTTGGGATTTAGGAGTGCCCAAATTCCACCTAGTTCAAACATTTGCCATATCTACCAGCCCTTGAGAGAAGTGTGAAAGATTTCTGAATCTCTTTAAAGAATTTAAGATTCTAAAGAATGGTTGTGTAAAATCTCTGCATCCCCGCGAACAAACGAAGCAGGTAAGCCTTCTCGAGTGCAAACACATTCACCATGGCTTCCTTGATGTCTTGCCCAAATGAAAGTAAGAAGAACTATCCAACTTATGATTTAGAATTGATAGACGTGATGATGTTTATCTATTTTTCTACTACATTATTATTGATAATATAATTAAATTATAAGATGACATCCTATGCATGAAATAAGTGAAATTAGAAGTAGAGTGTTATAGAAGGTCAAGCTCTTTCCACAGGCGGTGTGGTCAGCATCGTTTCCACAGCGAGAATGATGGGGTTTGATCAAGAGATGGTTGAGCTCCGATTCAAAATGCATCTTTGTGCATTCAACGAAGGAGACTTTGATTAATGGCTATGTTATCTTCTCGGGCTCGTCTCAGCTCTTCTCTCAGACTCAGTTCTTCTAGCCTTGGGAAAGGATATGCCTTTTGTTCTTAGGCTGGAGGGAACATGGAGACTGGCACGAAGGTTTCGAGCTTGATATGAATAGGACGAAGAGGATGAGAAGAAGAGACTCTGAGTTGGAAGAGTTGCCATGATCTCCAATATTGGCTTCTAATGTATATGTAGATCGTTCGAGGAAGTGGACGCTGTTTGAATCAGTAACGTGGAAGACGAATGTGTAAACGGCACTGATTTGGACTTCAGAATCGTTGAATGGTTCACCTTGGACAGAGATATTAGGCAGAGTCAACATCATTTGCATTGCGAGGTACCAACACTGTGTGATATAAATGAAAAAAATAATCTCTTTTTGTCGTTGATGTAATCCACAAAAGAATAGTTAGTAGGTTTATACACTCTACTGATTCTATAAGATATGAACAGTCGGTTAGTGCCATCAAAAGAGCTTCCCGGCGAACTCCTTCATGTCTTCATCTTCACACGAAGGAGAAGCATACGTCGCGAGGCCTTTGAGATCAGAAAGGCTTCTTCCAAGCTGCAAAGCCGCCTTCATCTCAAATAACTCTCCGTTCTCCCTCTTCTGCACATCGGTCTCCCCCAAGTTGGATTCGATCTCCTCTTGCAACCGCCGATAGTACCCAGCGCAGTTGCGGAACAGCTCGAACACCATCCCGACCTGTCCACCGTGCTCCAAGGTGTGCACTGCGGTCGCAAGCACGCCTCCGATGACACCGAGAAATGCCGGCATCGGACCGAGAGCCGGTGA